TCTGAGAGGTCTCTGAGGTGGGGTTCTAGAAAGCACCCGAAACGACAGACTAATAAAGCCCTTGTTTCAGTGATCATGTCTCATTTTTTTGCGATGGGAGCTTTCTCTACTTCTGTGTCTGTGCTGTCTATAGAACATCTTGTGATTTTACATAGATGCCTAAGCACGGTACTGTCCACTGCATTAATGAGTCACTTGCACGTTCTTTATTTTCACTCTGGTTAACTGTCAAATGCGAGTTCTGGGAGGCAGTTTAAAATGAGACTCAGTCAATAATTTATCGTCGTGGAAGAATTCAGTGAGGAGTACCCATATAGTCCCGCTTAAGCAGGGCATGAGTAAAGGAACAGCCCGCAATATAGGTGGCTTTGCACAAGATTTAAATACGGAAATATTTACTATTCCTGGAATTTTGCGCAGGGCCGTCTTCATTAATTGGGCGGGTTTCCCCTATTCCCGTGCCCTACTTGCCAATGAATTCCTCTGTCAAAATTAAAACTAGAGGTCTGGATGTTCAACACCTTTTAGTTATCTGTTATTGAGAAGCAAAAAGCCAAGATAGGATATGTCAGTCGTAAGAGGTTCATTACAGAGAACTGAGAGATCACAACTGGCAGTTTCTGGCAACCACCGGCTTCTGAGTCATCTTATACCCGTGCCAATAAAAGCTAGGACGTGCCTCTTAGTTTAAAGTATGAGAGGAAAAGGGAGTTATTATTAGTATCTTATCCTCTTTTTTTCCACACAATCCATCTCCTAATATAATCTCCATTTCTGCATACAGATGCCAAGCCTGGTGTTGTTGTCATTCCGGAGACAATTCAGAAGCCAGCATGGGTACCATTCAGTTTCGTCTGCCTCACATCCGGGCGGCAGCGGCCGACCGTAGTCTTCGCGTCAAGCCGACTTCCTGTAGAGACTGATGGACGTTTTCAGGTCACCCACCTAAACGCCACTGCTATCGAGGTCGCTGCGCCAACCGGTCTGCGTGGTGAAGACGACAGCACAGTGCTAGAGTAAGTGAGGTGGTCAACCTTAGCGCTTGATTTTAACTGATATTGGCTCGCTGTGAGGGGGCAGACGACCGTGCGCTCATGGCCATCGAACTGATTTGGGAGTTTTCTGTTCACAGGTGCATCGTGTCTGGTGTCGGGAAACGTGTCACGGTGACGATACAAGACAACTGTGGACCCGGCAACATGCAGTGTCGAGACGGACGCTGTATACCAACACGCGACTTCTGCGACGGCAAACCCGACTGCGGTGACGGCTCCGATGAGTTTGACAACTACTGTCAGCGTAAGTTTTGTAGGATTAATTTGTCTATAAAGCAGGCGGAG